CTCCTCCTCCTCCTCCTCCTCCTCCTTCTCCTCCTCCTCCTCCCCCGCTTCCTCCGTCCTCCCTCTCCTCTTGTGCGACAAACCGCCGAGCGTGAAGCACCACGCGAACACCGGACGCGCGATTGGCGCGTTTTCTTGCCGCTACCGCCGCCGTCGTCGCCGTAGCTGCGAGAACTCTTTACGGTACACTGCCTCGAGAACGCATCGCGAGTCTCCCGCGCGGAACCACGTCGAGTATCGCCGGACCGGGACGATTTCGCGCCTCCGCGCGATGCACGCGTGTGCGGGCCGGTATGCGTGCGGTATGCGTGCGCTTTCCGCCGGTTCCACAGGACACGTATAGAGCACCAACGGACGCGATACCGTCGTCAACGTCGTCGTTGTCGTTGCCGTCGTTGTCGCCGTCGCCGTCGCCGTCGCCGTCGTCGTCGTCGTTGTCGTCGCGAGCAGCCGCCCGGTTTTATCACGAAGGCGACGAGAGAAGCTGTCGGCCGGCGCGAAACACGCAGCGGGGCCCGATACGCAGAGGAAGGCCGGCGGCCTCGGTCGAGCTGATCGCGTACGTACGAGTTTCGTTCCACGCAGCGTGAAACTCTTGGCGGAGGTGCGCGGCGCGCGGCGGCCACCACCAGTCGACGGGAGCACACGAATCCACCCGAATACGCCCGAGAGAGCTTCGATATATCTCTCTACCTACCTACAAAGTACTCCGGCCGCCTCCCGCCTTCCGCAAGCGAACACCGCTCTGCCGACACCGCCACCGCCGACCGACAGATCCACCAAGTGGGTTCACCTTTTGTGAAGCCGTCGCGTCGGGTTCCTTGCTTTCTCTCTCTCTCTCTCTCTCTCTCTCGCCGGACTCGTCGGAAGCGTCGCTTACCCCGGTAGAATCATACTCCATCGTCTCCTGAATCGAACGAGTTCGGTTCGAAAATCGAATGATTCTTAAAATCGGAGCATATAGTCGGAGCATATAGGAAAAAAATGGCTCTCAGGATCCCACAGCGCTAATATATCACGCGGAATGTTTCAAAAAGGAAGTCGATACTATTCTGGCTTTAAAATGTCTTACTTTCTACGATATATTATACGATATTTAGATTTGTCGTGAAATGTTTGAGTAAAGCAAATTGATCGGCGAAATGTCCGTAATGACCAGAAATATGAAAATTACGTTAATTACATGGTGATGATATATGTTACGATTTTCGATAAATGTTAGTATTACGGGAATTTGAGACAATTGAATCTTAAAGGCGAAATATATGGCCGGAAAAAAATGTTTCTCAGAATCTCACGCAATCACGCAGCTAATACATCACGCGAAAGGAGAAGTCGACTTAATCCAACTTCAATATTTGTTACTTTCCATTATGCACGATATTCAGATTCGTTACGAGATGCTTGAATAAAGTAAATCGATTGCGAAATGACCGTGATGATTAAAAACATGAATATTACGTTAATTATACAGTGGTGTTACACGTTACTAATTTGATGACGATAAATGTTAATAATAACAGGAAACAGGCTAAAAACCGGAGCAGTCAATGATCCCGAAAATATACATCTCAATTAAACGCGGTATTGAATCCCGTAAAACCGAGACGGCTGGTTACACTAGCTGTTTAGATATAGGGTTCATCACATCGAGTCCAGGACAGAATCGATGCAAAATTGCGTTTGCAAATTTGGTTATCCACGAATCTCGTGTTTCGGCGCGTTCGTTATATCGTCAACGGAGCGTAACTCATTTGTGCTCGCGATAATTCGCGTATTTAATCGTCGATCGGGTTTAGCCGACAAATTTCTCTCGTTCACCGGGTAGTCGAGTAGTTTAGATCCCGCGCGCCTTTTTCCCACGTGAGAATCCTTTTTTTTCTTTCCCGCGTCGCTACTTTGTATCGCCTGCGCCGAGAATTGTTGCGATGAGAACCGTCGGACGTGGGTATGCCTGTGTTACCCCGCCGCCACACCACGATATATCAGGTTACATATCCGTTGCGTCATGTAAATTGATACCTGTACACGCTCGTACACCGATCGGGCATTTATTTAAGCCATAAATTATCGTAATGTCGATTGGACACGCTCCTAGGTACGATTTTACTAACCAGACCATCGGCGGCGGTTATGCTCGAGGCTGCACGGAGACAATAAAACACGCGTTCGCACGCCGATCACGCGCTTAGAAGTCGTCATATTACGCAATTACAAACAAGGAAGCCATGCGCAGACGTCATTTAAGTTTACGACGACGAATGGAACGGAAACGGAATTATCGTCTCTCAACACTTATATTTAATTGCGAATTAAATCGCACAATTACATTTTCTGCGTCAAGTAAAGCAGACAGCAGACGCGGATCGATTTTGCACGGAAAGGATATGGTTTTGTTGAAGTATCTAAAAAGATTTAATTAAATGCAGATTTGAAAATGATCGTATTGGACTATTGAAAATAGTTATGTAAGGCACACTCAATAATCTAGTTGTTAGAATATCAAAAGTGTTTACAGTATCACGCTTTAGTTTTTTACACAATTAGTTTGATGGCTCAACCAATTATTTTCAGATCTGTATCTAGTTAAACTTTCATCAGCAAACAAATAACAGCGAAATTGTTGTTCTTTCCGTGTAAGAATTTGAAAGCGATAAGACGAGTGTGTGAGATTATGAGTCGCTAGAAAAAATAGTTTATGCATTTTCGAAAAATTCAAGAAGATGAAATTATAATAAAGTCAAGTTTACATCAAGTAAGAGTTATTTTAGAAAAAAATTATAATGATATTATTCCATATATTTTTGACGTGATAATAATCTGTAACTTTTATCTCTTCATCACAAAATTAATTCGTGAAAAATGACAACATGACGATTCTTTTTTAATCGACTACTTGATGTTGATGTCCCATCTTGATTCTATCATAATTTCGTGTTCTACCTGAGATCTTGCAATCAGAACTTTAGTATACCTGCATTTGTATATCCTGAGCCACCTATGGCTTTGTTATTACAAACTGCGCTCTCAAACTTTATTCAGCGCGAATGAAAAGGATTGTCCATTATCACAGATCACCAACGAGCGAGTCCTCCGTCGTTGGGCGTTGCTGACGATGTCAAAGGACGTTTATAGCGAAGCATTTTTCGCGGATTATTCATCTACTTTTAACATTCATCTCCAGTATACTCTCACAGCGATTTCTTAGCCCGTATAAAACCGTCACGCGGATAGAGATTTCCTCCGCGAGGAAACGAGGCTCTTTTTTTTCTTTTTTTTTTACAAGCGTCTCCATGTTTTGTCTCGCGTGGCAGGTAAAACGACGCTGATGCCGCAGGTATATATTGCGTAGAGCGGCCGTTGCGGGCTTCGCCTTTCGAGGTAGCCTACGTGCACCCATCCGTATTATACCGCGTTGCCGAGACAAAAGGAACAGGAAGGACAGAACCGTGGGTTCCTTCCTTTCCTCTCTCTCTCTCTCTCTCTCTCTCTCTCGCTCTCTCTCTCTCTCTCTCTCTGCCTTTCTGTCTCTCGCTGCCGCCCTTTTCTCTCCTTCTCCCTCTCTTTCTTCCAACGCGCAGCCCGTCGATACTCGGCTTATACGACTCGCGGGGCGAATCGATGCGTGTGTGCATGCACTCTCTTCGCAGCGGGATGACTGGTGAGAGAATTCAATTTCCGTCGTCGTTATCGTGCCTCCATCTTCAGCTCAGGCCACGCTCGGATCATCCTCGCTGACTCCTCGCCGCTTCCCCTCCCCGTCGCCGCCACTGCTTGCCGGCAGTAACGAGACAAAGCCATCATTGCCTTCGCTTTTGCCCGCGCGCCTTCGTCTCGCGACCTTTCCGGATGGGCCGTCAAGAGCGCGCGCGAGCACGTTATCTCGAGAGAGCGTCTCGATAACGATCAATCTGACCCGACTAGTTTAGAGCGCATGT